ATCTTTATAATTTTGTGTGTATCTCTGAATATTTAATTTTACCTTAAGTTTGCAGTATTTATAATTTTATATATTATATGTATTATTTTTATATATTTATTTTTTTATTTTATATATAATTTTATATATATTATTTTTTTATAATCTTTATAATTTTGTGTGTATCTCTGAATATTTAATTTTACCTTAAGTTTGCAGTATTTATAATTTTATATATTATATGTATTATTTTTATATATTTATTTTTTTATTTTATATATAATTTTATATATATTATTTTTTTATAATCTTTATAATTTTGTGTGTATATCTCTGAATATTTAATCGATCGTACATTTTAAATTTCACAACGGAGAGGAAGATTCGATCTAATCGAAAGGAATATTGATTTTCTATCTTCTTATGGAAACATTCGAATAAATTATAAGCAAAGAATAAAAAGGGGAAAAAAATATGACACGAAAGAGGAAAAATATTTAACGGATGAGAAAATCTTGAAGCGATCGTTGGACGTATCTGAACAATTCACGACTTCATCTTCCCTTATCCATCACCGCTACCCTTTTCCAACCATTCTTCTTCGCGATATCCAGAAATCTAATACTTCTTGCAACCCCGGCAATAACTCTCCCCACAAGAATTATCCCCGCGCCCAACACCGACGAGCAAACAGGAATCTCTGATCCGACGGGGAAGAAAAGCTGTACTACCTAAGCGATATATCAACGCAATTTGCCAGCATCCTTTCGATCAATAACTTCCTGCACGATGTATAGCACGGGATGAAACAGGAATTATCGTTCGTTAAACGATCGGCTTGAAAGGTTGTCGAATGTTTGGATGAATTATCCAACGGACAAGTAATTCGACGGAGCTGCTCGTAGGCTTGTATCCAATTAAACCAATTTTCTATCTCTCTTTTTTCTCTTCTCATCCTCTTTTAATCGACGTGATCCACGATTTTTTGTTTACAATATATATGGATCATTATAAAACATAGATTTCTTTATTTTAAAGTAAACTTACATATATTATATGCATAATATCATTCAAATGATCTTCTTTTTTTTGATTTTGTTTTGTTTAATTTTTCCTTGTATTTTCTTCAACTCGTTCTTGGATTATGATAATATCAAAAGAAACAATCGTAACGATTCAATGGACGTCAATTCAGTGTTTGATTGATTTATTCTGCTAAATTTTTGAATTTTTTCGATAAGTATCATTCAAAAATAATTAACGAAATGATTAAAAATATTACGATATTGAAGTTGTATAAATGTGTTAGCATGCGATCATTTATCAATTGTTTATTCAAAATCCAGATTTTATTCATTCAAAGAGCATTCCATGGATCCAAATAAGAATGTAATAGAATAAATATAAATACAGTTATCAATAATAAATATTAAATACGAGACTCTACAACTATCCTTGTAACTTTTATTATAATTTCAATTGTCCAATTAAAGATTGTTTTATATTTTCACATTTCAGAATTTTAAAGAATTGAGAAATATTTCGAATCTAATTCATAAATGCACATATTAATTTTCTGCTGTAATTCTTCTGACGTATATGATGAATTTAAATGCAATTAAATGCAATCTTTAAAAACTTTTCACTATCTCGACTAGTTCGTTTTTCATCTCAATTTAAATATATTTCAAATACTTAATTTGGATGCCCCTTAACCTTCGTCGACCACCGAACGCGACGTACATACAATCGCTGTATCAAATAGAACCGATAACGGCAAGGTTACGCGTGTGTGGCTCGACTGTAATAGCAATAATTTCTCGCCAAGTAACGAGTCGTTTCGTACCGTATACGGAAAAGGACGCCCAACGAACGGGTCTAGGGACTCGCCCTAGACGTTCAGAGTCGAGAAACACGATCGTAAATATCCTTTCGTGGTCTTCTAGTGTCTTAACGGGGTCCAGGATTTTCGTTTCGGGAAATTGGAGGAAGCGGAGAGGAAGATCGATTTATGTATGTATGTATGTGTGTATACGTATACACACATAGATAGTTACTCATTTAAAATTATTGCTTATGATTATTTAAGAATTGGAAATATTTAATTCTTCTTTATTAATAATTTTTCATTTAGTTAAAGACAATTTATATTTCATACCTCGAAAATATATGATTTTGAGAAAAATTTTTTACGTATCGCAATGCCATCGATTTTTTATTTTATAAATAATTAAGATGCTCAAGTTATACGTATAAAAGTTTAAACATTTATATAACACGATCTTCGAAAAGTTCAAAATTCATAAAATCACACCAAAATCTGATTATAAAAGAAAAGCATTATCTTAGAATAAAACGTGTAGCATATTTTTCGATGCTGTTTCACTGTTACAACGAAGTAGATCGTTAAAAAAAATAATACATCGAAGATGAGAACAGAGGAAGAACCAAGAATGAGTGGATGATTGAATCGGATCGATCCTCCTTCGTCGTTCCTTTCCACTCTTCCAAGTAACTTCGATAAGCGTCTCGGTGCTTGCAACTCGATGTTGTTGCGATACGAAGAGAAATAAATATCGCAGGGTTTCCCTTACACCTGTGCGGGATTATACGCGTTTATCTGCGCGAGCTCGATCCGCCCACGCGAATTCCTGCCCTTCGAATATCGAGTCGAGTGTTGATCGCATTTTCTGTTGGATTTGTGATTGTGATCAGAGTTCTATTAGTTTAGATCTTATTATTTTTTAGGATTCAAAGTTTGTTTTTTACTTTTTCGAACGAATTGCAAATGTATTATTTGTTTAATAATAATTATTTTATATTTTTTATATTATCCGATTAAACGAAAGTGAATATCGATTTATTATTCTATGTATATTTATTATGTATATTTTTGATGCCATTCAATTGCACGTAACAATATGAAAAACGAACATTAATTCGATACGTTAGATAATTGATTCAGTTTCAATCAGATAACGAAAACCGGATAATGTGAAAGCGCTTTAAGGGTAAGAGCGTAGCGAACAAATCGTGATATAAGCGACGAAGCAAGTTGATCGAGGAAAAGAAACCAATTCGAACAAGTGCAACAGCACGTAAAAAAAATCATCTACATCGTCACCACAATTTATTCATTATCCTTTATTCTTCGAATTTTTTCTTTTTTTTTTTAATAAAAGTTTGATATTTATGCATCGTAATATGATTATTTAGAAAACTTGATATATTTTGATGCTTTTAAAATTTTTTTAAAAATTGAATCTGTTTTATTTATAAACAGTATAATTAATTAATTAACGATCTAGCGTGATTTAAAGATAATATATCATAGTAAAAAAAAAAGAAATTTCAAAATTTAGTATGCTTACTTAATTATCCGAATCCTCTAATCATTCAGCTTACAGATATTTCGTTATTAAATATATTATAACTAAAATCATTAGAATTGCACGATGGATTTTATATTTGAAATATGAACGACTTATAATCATCCATTATTTTAAATAATTTATTTATAATCTTCTTCTAAATATTCCCTCAAAATCTTCCCTTACTCCAATGCTTATCATCCTTTGAACAAGATCTTTTAAATTACAAAACTATCCATTCCACTATCGTCATCGAACTCCTCAGGTAGGTGATTTGATCAACAGACTGTGTGCCAGGTGGCCAGGGCCCACGTAGATGACCACACACAGGCGAAGGGTGCGTATAGACTGATGACAAAGCCGGTGGAAAACGGGACCGTGAAGGAATAACAGAAGGTGTAGCCAGATAGCGCGGAACAACGCGATGAGAGCATCGAAGACACTGTAACGGTGCCTCGTCCGAACTGATTGACAATGATTGAAGGCTGTGTGTTTCGTCTTGGAACTGCGATAGTCTTAGCCAGCTTCCAGATTCCAGATTCCTCTTGTAAACCGTCGACACACGTGTACAGGGTATTTGGATGAATTAGATAGAAAATTTAAGGGATGATTTAAGAGTTGAAGGTTATTTTTCAAATAATTGAAAGTATTTTTAATGTTAAAAGTTAAACTTCAATGTATATGTTTATACGTTTGTATAAATTAATTTTTTTTATCCGTTTTAATTTCTAAAATTATCCCTTAAATTTGGATATATGGAATGCTTAGCTACAAAAATTTGTCGTGACTTTGATTTTTTAAATAAAAATAAAATAAAAATTAAGGATAAAATATTGGAAATTTAATTATTGACATTTTTGATCATTGTTTTTTATGCTATTTCAGTTGTTTTAGAAAAGTTCGGATATTTTCATCGATTTTTGATAAGAAAAAATACAAAGCTAAGAAAAATACAATTTTTTTATTCTTGATTTTTGTCTTATATTAGACATGAAGAATTTTTTTTTGAATTTTGAAACAGCTATAGTCGAACACCCTGTATATGTAGGACTGTAACTATCTTCATTATTGAATCTAGAAGATCTATGCCGGGAGCAGAAATATCGACCCACACGTTGCGATCAGTCAGTTTCTTCCGATCATCTCGATCGAAGAGCCACCCAACGCGATTCTATTATTTGCGCTTGATTAAATTAAGGTTATTTCCGCGATCCTCTGATATCGATATATCGTGATATGAATGGAAAGATACCAATTTTCGGAAGTATGAATGATGATAAGATAAGAATAATGATAGATTGGAATATTTAAAAAAAAAGTACTTGATAATTAAATACTTGCTAATTTTAAGATAAATTTATGATAGGATTTTAATACAATTTATTTTTCTTTGTTATCAATATTTAATTTTTATTTTGTTCAATTTTTCAATAATTTTTTATAATAATAATAAAATATTATTATTATTGGAATTGGAATATAATTATAATAATAATTTTAGTAACTAATAAAATAAATAAAATTTTATCTTTACTGTATTCTTAATACTTAACAACATCATTATTCAAACTCGTCCAAAGAAGAAAAAAAATCTTACGAATATTTATCAATTCGACCTCCTCCAATATGGTTTCATTACGGAGAAAATATCATTGAGCGAAACCTACTAAAATTCCGCCAAAGAGAAATCTTTTTATTGAATACGATCATTTGTCGTGAGGAACACGAACTTTAGATTGTGGAATTTTAACGTTTCAAAAGAGTCAACGCACATGCGATTCGCGCCTCATGCTATTAATGGGAGATTTCAAGGAAAAGAAACTTATGCGAAATCGACAATATGCTCTCGAGGCTCGATCGGATGATATATCGATACCACGGAGACAGTATCCGCTGTTACCAGATACTTAACCCGCGACCAATCGGTTATTTACACGACTGGTTACCTAGCTACCTACTTGCTGGCTATCAAACGAGGACCGACCTCTATGCGAGAGACAATGAGACGAGGCGTCCTCGCTTTCGAGACGGTTACCGTTTTGTTGTTCCTAGATGCTTCCTTGATGGTACTTGGAAAATGTACTGTATAAGAGAAGCTTGGATAACTGTTTCTTTGGAATGTTCAGAATTTTATGGTAATAACTATGAAATAACCTTAAAATAGGTGAAGCTTGTCAAATGGAAGATATTTGTTTTAGATTGAAAATGAGGTTAGAAAATGTGCAGGTCAAGATAAGCTTGAATGATGTTTCCTTGGAACATTTTGTGGTAATGGTTGTGAAATAATCTTGAAATAGGTGAAGTATGTTATGGGAAATATTTGAAATTGTTTTGGATTGAAAGTGTTAGGAAATGTTCTGCATAAGAGAAACTTGATAACTTTCTTTGAAATATATAGAATGAAATAATCTTGGAATGGATGAAATTTATTAAATGGAAGATATTTGAAAGATTGTTTTGGATTGAAAATGTGTATACATAAAAGAAGTTTGGATATTTCTTTTAAATATGCAAAATCTTATGACAATATAGAATGAAAAGTTTATTGTTAAATAGAAAATAAATAAAGAAAGATTATCTTGGATTGAAAATATACTTAGGAAATATATGGAGAAGTTTGAATAATTCTTTCTGTGGAATAATATATAATGATCTTGGAATAAATGAAGCATTATTGAGAGATATTTGAGAATAAGTTTCAATCAAATCTTCAAATGAAAAAAATTTGACATTTGAAAAATTAAAGGGATAATAATGTATGGTAGTACAGTGGAAATATAAGGTATATATGAAAAAAAATCAATAATTTAAAAGTATTACATTTTTTTAAGTGTTTTTATTTAAATATAAATATAAGTACTCAAATGTTCTATTATTCCATTCTAACATTTACATATTAAGTGATATATATACAATAAAAATGTGAAACAGATATAAATAAAAAATACTTTACTCATATTCTACTTTTTCCAAGTACACTTAATTACAAAGTATACTTACAAATACTTAAACAAGCTAATGCATTCTAACATTTACACATTTTCAACATATGAAATGTAAAACAGGTACGAATAAAAAAATCAATACTTTACAGATATTCCACTTTTTACAAATGCACTTATTACAAATACTCAAATGTTCCACTATTGCATTTCAAATTTACATACTAAATATTCTTCAATATTTCTTTTTAAATGTTTTGTTAATATTTAAAAAGAGAGACCTGTCTTAAACGAGATGGATAAAAGAATGTTTTATTCATATGAGAAATGTATTCAAGATTATCAAAATTTATATATGGTAATGTATAAATATTATATAATCTGCTTATTTTATACAAATGGTATCGATTTGAACGATAAGAATGAATCCATATAATAATTAATCCAATTGAATAATACAATAAATGCTATGATTTCCCATCACAATCCACATTATAGCTCACTAATTTTTTCATTCCTAACCTAACTCGACGAATCGTTATCAAGTGACTAGTTTCCAACTATCAAAGAAAATCAATATCTGTCCTTATGTTTCTTCTTTACTCTTCTTTGCGAATAGCAAGCGGTATCTAAGCTGACATCGTTTACGCATATCACAGCGACTCATTGTTCGTGGAAGATTCAATCTCTTGGGTCCGAGAAAGTCTTTCTCCTCTTCCTGCATCCGCGCTAGCGAAAGAGGAATCGGGTACAGAGGAGAGGTCGAAGATAAATGAACCAACTGTTATTTTCCGAACGTGCCGCGCTTTTACATAATGAATAGGAAAGCGAGAAAACATATCTAGGGAGGATTTTATTTTATTTACGTAAGCGACCATGCGCACAACGGTTAAAGCGGTTGAATTTGCGTACAAAAACTGCGACCAATTTCTAATAGCCGGTTGAATACGTGGTGGGGGGGATTACTAGTAACAAGCGTAGACAGTCCTTGCCAATGTGAAACGCTTAACTACGCACAAGTTTCCCTCCCTAGATTAGATGGTAGATGGTAGATAAGATACTTAGGCTTGTCATCGTATGGGATTGGGTTGCGGAAGATGCGCTTGTTTCCGATTGCTTCGCTTCATTCTTCCTTGGATTTACGATTTTGTTCGATGGGGTAATAATTTAAAGGTGGAAGAGAATTGAAAATCTCGCGGCAAATGGAATTAACAATTTTAAAAAATAACTTTAGAAAAAGGGAAAAAAAATCCATCTAAAATCAAGTCGATTTGTGACTTATTTTATTAATTTAAAATCTTAAAATCTTTTTGCTATAAAATATTTCAAAATATATAATAAACTTATTCTTTTTCCATATATATATAATACAGAATTTTTTTTAGATATATTATCTTTATTTAAAAATTATAAATAAATTTACTTTCCTCTTATTTGTAAGATATTTAATTATTGTTAAATTGTATTATTTTGTTATAATTGGCTAAGAAAAAGAATGTTATGAGAATCATGATCAGTATATTTCAAAAACTATTATTTATTTTGACGGAGTTAATTTCCACAAAGTTGAATTGAGTATTATGAAAGATTTAAAAAAAATCATACATAAATATTTATATATTTTGGCCAAAATTCACATGATATATTTATAATATTATTTATTTATACAATATATGAATATCACAATCTATTTGAAACAACTTTTAAAATATCAATCATCAAATAATGAAAGTTACTACTAATCCTGTATCGAATAACGTCAATTAAAATAATTAAGAACTATTAGAACTACGATTTCAAAAATCTGTCGATCTTCTCTCGAGCACCTCATCCTAAAAGGAATCAATTCCCCGGACGTTCGAAACTTTCCTGCGCAAAAAGGAAATATCTCATTACACCAAACCATTCAAGACCACCAGCAGAATTCCTCAAGTTCCAAAGCGTCATTGGCTCCGACTTGCTATAACTCAGCATCACTTCCATATGCGTACACCGCTCAATCGATTAAAATCCCCCATGAAATCACCGTGAAATCAGCTTTTGAAACCCTTGGGACGATTCTTAGACTCCGACAAGAAAGTGGCGCGATGAAACCGGGCGAATCAAATGGGGCTGCGTTTCACAAAGATTGGAAGGAAGATTGCGCGCCATTTCTTGTACGAAGGCCGAACGCTGCCGACGGGGAACAGTTCCGTGATGCTCGAGCCGGGTAGTTAATAAATTAGTCCTATAACGTGGAGGACGGGGCAAAAACTGGCGCTGCTTCATAAGCTTGTTCCTCCTCCGCGCGGCGTA